AAAAAAAAAAAAAAAAAAAACCAAAGCTGGAGGCATCACACTTACCTGACTTCAAACTATATTACAAGGCTACTGTAATAAAAACAGCATGGTCCTGGTACCAAAACAGAGATATAGACCAACGGAACAGAACAGAGTCCTCAGAAAGAACACCACACAACTACAACCATCTGATCTTTGACAAACTTGACAAAAACAAGTGAACGGGAAAGGATTCTCTGTTTAATAAATGGTGTTGGGAAAACTGACTAGCCATATGCAGAAAGCTGAAACTGGATCTCTTCCTTACACCTTATATAAAAATTAACTCTAGATGGATTAAAGACAAACATGAAGCCTAACACCATAAAAACTCTAGAAGAAAACCTAGGCAATACCATTCAGGACATAGGCATGGGCAAAAACTTCATGATTAAAACACCAAAAGCAATGGCAACAAAAGCCAAAATAGACAAATGGCATCTAATTAAACTCAGAGCTTCTGCACAGCAAAAGGAACTATCAATAGAGTGAACCAGCAACCAACAAAATGGGCAAAAAAATTTTGCAATCTACCCATCTGACAAAGGGCTAACATCCATAATCTATGCAGAACTTAAACAAATTTATGAGAAAAAAACAAACAACCCCATCAAAAAGTGGGCAAAGGATATGAACAGACACTTCAAAAGAAGACATTTATGCAGCCAACAAACATATGAAAAAAAGCTCATAATCACTGGGCATTAGAGAAATGCAAATTAAAACCACATTGAGATACCACCTCACACCAGTTAGAATGCCAATCATTAATAAATCAGGAGACAGATGCTGGAGAGGATGTGGAGAAATAGGAACCCTTTTACACTGTTGGTAGGAGTGTAAATTAATTCAACTATTGTGGAAGACAGTGTGGTGATTCCTCAAGGATCTAGAAATAGAAATACTGTTTGACCCAGCAATCCCATTACTGGGTATATACTCAAAGGATTGTAAATCATTCTATTACAAAGACACATGCACACATATGTTTATTGCAGCACTGTTCACAAAAGCAAAGATTTGGAACCAACCCAAATGCCTATCAATGACAGACTGGATAAAGAAAATGTGGCACATATACACCATGAAATACTATGCAGCCATAAAAAAGGATGAGTTCATGTCCTTTGAAGGGACATAAATGAAACTGGAAATCATTCTCAGCAAACTGACATAAGAACAGAAAACCAAACACCACATGTCCTCACTTATAAGCGGGTGTTGAACAATGAGAACACATGGACACAGGGAGGGGAACATCACACACCAGGGCCTGGTGACTGAGGAGTGAGGGGAGGAATAGCAGGGGGTGGGGGGATTAGAGAGGGATAGCATTAGGAGAAATACCTAATGTAGATAACAGGATGATGGATGCAGCAAACCACTACCATGGCAAGTGTATACCAAGGTAACAAACCTGCATGATCTGCACATGTACCCCAGAACTTAATGTATAATAAAAAACAAAAATAAAATAAATAAATGTTTGAGATGATGGACATGCTAATTACCCCTATTTGATCACTAGATTGTACATATCAAAATATGTACCCCACAAATATGTAAAATTATTTTATTTAATAAAAAATAAAATATTGAAAAAAAATCTTGTTTTAACCAAAAAAAAAAAAAAATCCTGACCCCCCAGTACTGTGGGGCATGGCCGTCTTTGGAAATGGAATTGTTGCCGATGCAATTAGTCAGGATGAAGCCACACTGAGGTGGATCGGCCCTTAGTCCTACATGACTGGTATCCTTATAAAAAGAAGGCCATGTGCACACTGACACACAGGGAGAAGGCCGTGTGCAGACAGGGGCAGAGACTGCAGGGAGGCAGCTGCAAGCCAAGGTCCACCAAAGATTGACCACAACCAGCAGAAACGAGGAAGGTGCAAGGGAGAACTTCCCCCTACAATGTTCTGAGAGACTGTGGCTTTGCCAGCACCTTGATTTTGGACTTCTGGCCTCCAGAAGTGGGAGAAAACAGATTTCTGTTGATTAAGCCACCCAGGCTGTGAGATTTTGTTATGGAGGTGCCAGAACATCATGAGTATGATGTGAGGGCTGGGGTGGAGGGAAGCCTCAAAATGAAACCAGCCCAGTCCCCTGGGGACAGAGAGAAGAGGGCAGGTTATAAACAGCCTAGATCTGCACTCTTAGGCCCAGCTCATGCAGGTACCAGCTGTGTGAGCTTAGACACATTCCCTAAAATCTCTGAGTTGTTCTCATTTCTTCCCTGAAGTGGAGGTGATGGTGATGGCAGGGACAGAGCATGGGAGCTCAGAAGCTATGGATAGAGGTGAGGTCCTGAGGAACCTGTCTTCCAGCCTTCTCTTACCTCTGCAGTCTCCAACCATGTTTCTGTTAATACACACTATTAAAATGTAGTCAAGTCCCCACCAACTGGGAGACTCCATGTGTCTAAAGGATTTTGCTGTGTATTTGTATGACAGTCATAGATCAAACAAAAGCTGCTAACACAGTGAGAAAGAATGTTGAGCAACATGAATATGCAGTCATTGTTCTTGAGCCTGAGCAATTACACCCTTATTACATTTGGTGCTTCCTGCTTTGGTTATGCCAGTGTAGTGCTCTACTGGATACAAGTGAAAAGTAGCATTTATCAATAACTTCTATGGGCCAGGCTCTGTATGAAGTAGGAATTATTATTATTTCCATTTCACATAAGTCACAATTCACATGCAGCATGCACAAAGTCACAAAATTATTGTGTCAGAGTCAAGCTTTGAATCCAAGGAGGCTACTTTCAACCTCATAAATCTTAGCCTCACAAAGGATTCTTAGTTATCATTAGACACTCACAACAACCTTATGAGGTAGGCAGGGCATGTTGCAAAGAAAAATCAGAGCATCTGAAACATAGTAGGTGAATGATTAATGAATAAGTGGATAGATGGATAGAAAAATGGATGAATGGGTGGATGGGTGAATGGACAGATTGATGGATGATGGAGGATGAATGGTTGAATGATGGAGGGATGAACAGATGACAGAAGGATGGATGAGATGGATGAATGGGTAGATGATAGATGAATGGATAGATGGATGGATGGATGATAGATGAATGGATGGATGATAGATAGATGGATAATGATTGATAGATGACAGATGAATGGATGGATGAACAGATGATAGATGAATGAATTGATGGATGGATAAATGAATGGATGAATGGATAGATGATAGATGAATGGATGGATGGAGGTATATGGATGGATGAATGAATGAGTGGATGGATGCATGATCAATGGATGGATGATAGATGAGTGGGTGGATGGATGGATGGATGATGGATGAATTAATGAATGCATGGATGGATGGATGGATGATAGATGAGTGGATGGATGGATGGATGGGTGAATGGATGGACGGATGATAGATGGATGAATGAATGGGTGGATGGATGGATGAATGAATGAATGGGTAGATGGATGGATGGATAATAGATGAGTGGATGGATGGATGATAGATGTGTGGATGATAGATGGATAGATGGATGAATGGGTGGATGGATGGATGATCAATGAATGGATGGGTGGAGAGATGGATGGATGGATAAATGACAGACAGAAAGATGAGTAGATAGATGTATAGGGTGATGGATGAGCCACATAGCTCATGAGTGTCAGACTCCATAATCAGACTCAGGTGTCCCAACTCCAAGTCTCATGCTTTTCATCCCTAGAAGTTTAATTTCTATTCATGAGAACACATTTCCTACATATGCTATTTTTCATAGGGTGAAAGAAATAGGCTGACCCATTCTTCCCAGCAATTTAAGAAAATGAAGAGTGAGGAGAAGCAGGTTGTCCCAGCACCTCGACCGACAGTCAGCTGATGATCAGCCCGGGGGCCTGGGACCCAAATCTAGAGATTCTGAGTGAGTAGGCCTGGGTGTGGCCTGGGACCTATGTCTACTTTTTTAGTTTCCCAAATGCTTTGGATGAGAACCAGCAGATGAGTCAAGAAAGAGAAAGAGCAAGAAGGAAAGAGAGAAAATCGAAATAGCAGTGGCTTAAAGGACATGAAAATTTCTTTCTTCCTGGCATAAAAGTGGAGGTCAGAGTCCAGGCCTGCCTTGGCCCCTTGCCCACAGTGTCCTGGGGAAGCCAGGTCCCTCCAAGGACTGGGCCCCATGGCTCTAAAGAAGAAAGTGGCAGGTGGGGCGCAGTGGCTCACGTTTGTAATCCCAGCACTTTCAGAGGCTGAGGCAGGCGGATCATGAGGTCAGGAGTTCGAGACTATCCTGGCCAACACAGTGAAACCCAGTCTCTACTAAAAATACTAAAATTAGCTGAGTGTAGTGGCAGACACCTATAATCCCAGCTACTTGGGAGGCTAAGGCAGGAGAATCACTTGAACGCAGGAGGCAGAGGTTGCAGTGAGCCAAGATCGTGCCACTGCACTCCAGCCTGGGCAACAGAGCTAAGCTCCATCTCAAAAAAAAAGAAGAAAAAGAAAGCGGCAGACAGTGGGCACAGACGTCTTTTAAGGAGGGTGTACCCGTAAACGTTGTCACATGACTATTCCATTTACATCTCATTGGTCAGAACTTACTCACATGGCCACACTGAACTGCCAGGAGGTTGGAATTACAGTTTTTATTTCTGGCAGCCACGTACCAACAAAAGCTGGGGACTTGATTCCTGTGAAAGGACATGAGGACAGGTACTATGGGACAACTAGTGGGTTCTCTCGCAATACCCAAAGCACACAATTTCCCCCAAACCAATTTTTTTTTTCAAAATAAGATGATAGGCCATATAGAAAATAAAATATTTTCCTGGAAAACTGATTTGGGGTTTTGAAAATGCATGCGGTGTAATTGGCTGATGGAAGTCTTAAACCGAGGGGTAACAGACATGCCATTTTTTGCATCTTTTGAATAAAACAGCTTTTTCTTGATGAATAGATAAATGGGTAAACATTTGTGCACACACACACGTGCGCACACACACCCACACGTGCACACACACGCACACATGTGCACACACATGCACGTGCACACACATGCACACGCACACGCACATGCACACACACATGCACGTGCACATGCACACACACGTGCACACACATGTGCACACATGCAATCACATGCACACACACACACACATGTGCACACACACACACACACACACAAGTTGGCATGGCCTAGCGTACAGGCATGGCATAGCTTGAGTTCTTATCTCTTAAAAACCTACTTGATGTATTTACCCAGTGTCAGAAAACTTCACTGGCTTGATATTAAGCAGCTCAAAACATTGCGTTACGTAACTTCATGCCTGACCTCTTGAAGCCTCAGTCTTTTCATCCGTAGATGGGTATGGTAATAGATGGTGCTCCCCAGGGTTGCTGAGGGGAGCATGTTACATTCTGCATGTGAAGAACTTAGCGCCATGCTGACACATAGCAGCTCTCAGTGAACATTAACTATTAGTGTTTCTATTATTATAAGCCTTTCAGAAGCCTCTCAAGAGTTCCACATTTCAAAACAGTTGCTTTTCTGTATACACACTGGTGAAAAGGAATTGGCTGCATCTTTTCCTTAGTTGACTAAACCAAGTCATCAACTCACCTTCAGACCGAATGAGGGGTCCCCAGGACATCTGGTGTGTAGCAGAGGTTTCACTATTTTTCAGCAACCGAAAGTTATTGCAATTCTGGGGGTTTTTTTTCCAAGGAGAGAAACATCAAATTAGTTGAACAACATTTATGAGAATGTAGCTCACGATCAAGGATGATCATCTGATTCATATGATTTTATCCTGCTGAAAGCTGCAAGGCAAGGGGGCTAAGTTTAGCCAGAAGAGTGGGTGACCTGGTGAGACCAGGGTGGGGGGGCCCGCTGTTACAAGAGGCAGGCCCAGGTATCAGTGGGGAAGGAGGTGAGGTCTGCAAGAGCAGCAGGCTGGAGCAGACCCCTTGAGCTGCTTTTGGTTCCTAGAGCTGGTTCCTTGGATCCCTTGAGGACTGTGTCTGGGTCACAGGCCTCAGAGTCCCTCTGTGTTTTCCAAAGGCTGCGGCAGCCATTTGCTCCTCTTTACATCTTGGCCTTACAAAAAAGGCTGCCTGGCTCAGTGACACTGTGGGATCTGCTCACTGTATGCCTGAGATGGGTGGCAACATATCCTCCAAAAAGGGATTGAAGTCCTAAACCCCAGCACCTGTGAATGTGACCTTATTTGGAAACAGATAATCAAGCTGAGGGCCGCAGGGTGGGCCCTGATCCACTATGGCTGGTGTCCTTATACAAAGGGGAAATTTGGACACAGACACAGATGTGTGCCGAGGGAAGACGAAGCAAAGAGACAGTGAAAATGCCATCTACCAGCCAAGGAACGCCCCCGGCCACCAGAGGCTGGGAGAGAGCCCTGGGACAGATCCTTCCTTCATAACTCTCAGAGGGAACCAGCCTGGCTGACACCTCCATCTTGGACTTCCTGCCTCCAGAACTGAGACAATAAGTGTGGGAAGTAGAAAAGCTCCTTTGTAAAGTTTCTTTTCTTGTTAAATTATAAGTGTGCTAATAACTTTGTGAAGCCCTATCCTACGCAGCTGTTAGACATGCCATGCTTATTGGCACATAGTACTTTCTATGTCCTTGTGCTTCAACCAAGATATCTGTGCTGGACGTGCTCACAGGCATGTCCCAGCTCCCCACTAATTTTACCTGTTTAGAAAAGTTTTAAGTTGTTAGCCAATCAGGTTTTAGTTTAGATTGTAAGGTCTGGCTCCAGCCAACAAAGATCAGACTCAGCAGTAAGGACAACCCCAAATGCACAAGGGATAAATTTGTCTGTTTTCCTTTGTTCATTGTACTCTCATGGCACAATGGCTAGTGAGGGTACCCTTCCTGCAGTCCAGGAAGTAAAAATTGTGTTGCTGAAAGATCCTTTGTCTCAGTGCTGATTTTTCTTTGCGGCTCCGAGCATCTGTTTCCAACAATAAATGTCCACTGCTTATGCCACTCAGTTTGTGGCACATTCTTACAGCAGCCTGGAAAGCTCATACACTATCCATCCTAAAGGAGCTTGGGAGAAAACACCGTGTGCAGCGCTGTTATTGTAAAGAACTTGAGAGCCAGCCACTCCCTACAGAGACAAATCCTGGCAGTGGCTGTCAGTGCTCCTGTCATCTCTGAGGCTTCGAAGGAACTAGGGGCATGCTCCTCGTGTGTGGCCTTCAGCCTGCTGCCATTAGGACCTGAGGTTCCTTCTGTCTCATTGCTCAGGAAGATCTACTGTTTGAGCAAAACGGACATGAACTGAATCAGCCTTCCTGTGTGTCTTTCCTCTCCACATCCTGCAGGCGCTCAGAGCTTGGTCACCTAGGAAAACAGCTGCGTTCTGCGACGCATGCTCAGTTGAGCACAGAAACAAGCACACCCTCCGAGGAGAGAGACTCCTTCAGTCACTGAGCAAAAGGCTCTGGAGCACTCTAAGCTGTCCTCTGCCTCAGACAACAGTGGCCAGCAGGTAGCCACCTCATGGACTTGTCTGTGGTACAAAGAACAGCTTTCAAACCTCAGGATTACAAAGCATATTTCAAATTCAAAAGCCTAAGGACACAGGAAGGTAAAATTACCCCTGTGTGAATGTTGAACAAAGGAAAGGGAAAAAAAACTTCATTAAATAAGAGAGTGGCTGATATTTGGTATGTTCCATCAATGTTAAAGAGACATTTTTATATGTATAATCACCTTAGAAGCACTAGGTAGCATGGCAAGGCAGTGCCGATGTAACAGTCGGTTGAACATGATAACCTCAAGAGGGACTTAGCCAGTCACTGAGAAATGGGAAATGCCACCAATTCATATGGGTCCTCCACCCAAGGGCTGCCTGCTGTGGACATACCATTTCAGACACGGAGTCTGCAGGACGAGCACAGCGGCTTCTCCCAGACGCCAGCACCCCGGCCACTGGAGCCCCAGGCTTTTATTAACAGAGCCTTTCGTTGTAACAGTCAGGAACACGAATCCAACCAAATGTTTAGAAAATCAGAAAAACACTTACGATTTTGCAGGTGGCCCCGGGGGAGTCCACGCAGATGCGGAGTTTGCAGTGCAGGTAGACGACGGAGTTGTGGATGAAGGAGAAGATCCTCAGCTTGAACTGGGCCTTGCTGGAGTTGCCGTTCTCAATCACATGGGTGTATGTGTTGGGCACGGGGCAGCTGAGAAGACAGGAAATGAGACTGTTGTCAGCAAGCCACACTGTCCTTCTCAGATGAGCTTACTCACGACTGCATCTGAAGATGCTCACAGATCCCACAGGCTCCGGGGGAGTCGAGGACAGGCCGCCTCATTTATTCCCCAAAACGCAGGTACTTGACAGCACTTGCCTAGAAATCCCACAGAGCTCAGAGCCGGCCACACAGCCAGGCCAGGCAATAGCAGTGCCCACACGAGCCCCACCTGTTGTTAATGAAACGTTGCTGGATGGGGGTGTCTGGACTCCGGAGCCCTACCTGTTAGTAACAAAGCCCTGGGCATTGCTGAACAAGGGCACCTGCACTCCAGAATCCTACCTGCTGGTAATGCTGGATGGGGCATTGCTGGATGGGGGTGCCTGTGCTCCTGAGCTCTACCTATTGGTAATGAAGCTCCAGCATTGCTGGATGGGAGTTCTTGTGCTCCTGAGCCCTACCTGTTGCTAATGAAGCTGAAGGTGACCGGGTCCCGGGCGTTGCTGGATGGGGTTGCCCAGCACTCCATCAGGACCACCTTGAGGTTGCTTTTCTGCCCGTAGAGCCCCACTTCGATCTTGACGTCATCGCTGGCAGACACACTATAATTCTGAGGTATGGGAGAGTCTCCAATAAACAACTGCATTTCGGTAACAAAATTCCCAGTGCCGTGGAGGTCCTCGATGACGGTGTAAACCCTGCAAGAGGGAGCAGCTTGCAGGAGGTGCGTTTCCGGAGGCGCATTATCACGGCCCCTCTCGTTCGCACTTCTCCCCCAACGTGCAGGTCCATTCTGCGTGCGAATGAACCAGAAGACCCACCAGCCCCAAAGGAGAGCACATGGAGGCTGCTTCCTGAGGGTGGGCTGGTCCAGGGGCTGCCTCCCTCACTTCTGATGGCGGAGGTGGCAGGTGAAAAAGTGGTGCCTGATGCAGGCTGTGGGTGGGGGCCCGCCGGTGGCTCACCGCAAGTGGGGCCATCTGATGGGATTGGCCAGGGGACATACTTGGCCTTCTCCAGCTGGCCCTGAGTGGAAAGTGGGAGTGAAGGCTGGGGAGCCGGCACCTGCCAATGCAGCCCGGCCATGCCTGTTTGCATATTCCGTCTCAAGGAAGGGTCCTTAAGTGGTTGAAACCTAAAGAACTCTCAAAGGGCAGGTGCTCTAGAGGCACGTGGCGTGGAGCAGCAGGGGCGCTTCTCCCTTACCCCCACTCTGGGGTGAAGCCGGAGGATATCAGCAGGTCGTTCTGAAAGGCGCAATAGATGGGGCTCAGGATCTTCAGGTAGTGGATGATGCCCTCTGGGGGCAAGTCGTTCCTCAGCGTGGTCCTCACCACCGTGCTCGTCACGTTCTGATCACAAAACAGGGTGTAAGGAGTTCCCAGGCCCCAGCCAGCTCCCCATGCCCTGCTGTGGACCATGGCTCTAGGTGCTGGGGTGGACGGGGGTAGGGGTCTTTTCTAAAGCCTCTTGCCAGAAGCATCGAGACCCTGGCGATTCTCCCAACCATAAATTGCCTAAGAGAGCCAAGGGTCGAACTCTGCTGATTCCCTGTTGACCCGAGGGGGCAGAACCTGAGCCTGTGTGGATTTCGTGGCAGTTGCACAAATAAGCCTTTCTGGGAAACTTGGTTTCTGACAAGTGTCAGAAACCTCCTAGAGCTCCCGTGGATTCCAGGGCCTGGGTGACTCATCAGAGACACATTTCCCTTTCTTTCTACATGCCCCAAACCCTGCTGCACTTAATAATCAAGCCAGGTGTGGCTCAGAGAAACACAGAGGTAGCTGCTGGCTGCAGAGCCCCAGCCCTGGGATGCACTGCCCCTCCACTGGAGCCGTGGGGGTACAGGGGTGCTCTGAGCAACAGGCAGGCCGTCCTCTACCCTTGGCCCCTCCACCTGGCCCCACAGCCCTGCAGAAGCCCTGTGTAGGCTTGAGGATGCCGTAGCAACCTGGGCCACATACACCTCTCACCCCAGGCCTCCCACACCACAGAAGCTGCCGAGAAGCCACAGTAGCCACGGACCACTGCCCATCCCCCCTGCAGACAGCCCTCGGGGCTGCCACTGCCTGGCCTCCTGGTAGGCATCTAAGAATCTTTAAGGGAGTAAAAACTAACCCCGGGCAGTTCTCCTTAAGTTGTACAGGTTGAGGGGCTGAGGGGGTAGGGAACGTTTTATAGCTGTTGAAATGGTACAGGTCCCTCCTTCAGCCCAGGGAGGGTCTGAGGAGCCCCCGAGGGAGTGGAATGAACTCAGCAGAGTGAGCTGTGCCTCCCAGGCAGGCTCGTGTTCTGTGGCAGCCTCGGACCGTCCACCTGAGTCCCTCAGCTTCCTGGCCACCCTCAGTCCCAGCTCCAGGCTCCAAGCGGGCTCCACACCGTGGAGTCACCTGACGTCCCCACCTCCCCACTTCGTCTCTCGGCCTCTGGGACTTTCTGGCCTCTGCTCCCCAGGGCTAGCCCCTTACATAGCCCCAAGGTCCACGTCCCAGCCTCCTGCTGAGGACACCCCGCCACCACATTCCTACCTTGTCAGCTCGCAGACATTGACGCCCCATGCCCGAGGGAGCAGGCTCTGGGTTTCATCTGCCAGCTTTGCCCCGCCCAGTGCCAGAGGCCACCCTGTCCCCACTAAGGGGTGTGTCCAGAGCCCCAACCTGAAGCAGCGCCCCCCCAAGGCACCTCGAGAAGCAGAGCCACAGGGACGGGGCTGCTTCTCCCAGTTAGGGCAGCTTTGACCCTAAACTCCCATGGACCCCGCCGAGCACCCACACACTCATATCCACACACGACTGCTTGGCTTTCCTGCCTCTTCTGGTCCCCTGGCTCTCCATCCTGTCTGTGCAGGGAGGAGTTTTAAGCCCTGATTCTGAAGCCTGCCCCAGGCACTTTGCACCAGAGTCCCTGCTGGGTGGACTCACATCTCCCTTCTGCTTCTGGGGTGCAGCCTGGTCTCTGGTTGAGAACTCAGCCCTGTCCTGACCCCCCTCGCTGGGTTCCCCTCGGAGTGCAGAGTCTTGTCTGGCCCCCCCATATCAAGGCCCATATGACCTAGGGCCCTTTGTGCCCTGGCATGCATCCTGAGCCCTGCGCCCGAGCGTGTGTCCTAAGCCTGGCTCTGCTGGCCTTACGCTCTGCATGACGGTCCCACACTCGCTCCAGCCGGCCTCCAGGAGCACATGTGTGCTATTGCTGTGGCTCACATTGCAGGAGGGGTGGCTCAGATACAGCGAGGACTCAGGGATGGATTCCTGCTGCAGGAAGCGCTTCTGGATGGCGACAACCACCTTTTCGATCTCACAGAGCACCCTGACTGCTGCGGTCAGGTTCAGCTGTTGGGGCAGGCCCTGGGGGGTGGGGCTGGTGCCTTGCACAAAGGCAGCCTTGGTCCCTGCTGCGGTGAGGGGCCTCTCCGGGCTGGTGGTGCTCTCGTTGCCAGCAGAGTCACCTGCAAGGCACAAAGAGGAACACGCAAAGAGTGGCTCTGTGTTTGGGGTTGGCGTGGAGGGGAGGGAGTAAGGAGCAGAGTGGAGCTGCCCTGCACTCTGCAGCAGCCACACATGGGAACTGCATGTTCCAGCCACAACCACACACACACGTGCACACACACCACGTACACATACACACACCACGTACACATGCACACACATGCATGCACACACATGCACACACACATATGCACATACACACATGCACACCCACAGTGCATACACACACACATGCACACACACAGTGCATGCACACACACATGCACACACTCACACACACACATATACACACACACAGCACATATACACACTAAATCCACTAAGGCCCCTCTTAACAGGAAAAGTGCTGGCTGGAAAGAGTGGCAGAGAGGAAACATTCCCCTTGTCGCTTGTCCACGGCTGCGTGTTTCACAAGTCAGTCGTTCAGCATCTGTACGTTCACACCTCATGTATGTATGCACTTTCTCTTCATGGATATCAGAGCTAGAACTTGGAGAGATAAGGCACCGCCCAAAAGCCTGGACACGTATGAAAGAATGGGAAAGAACATGCACACACGTGCACACACACATATACACATACGTCACACACACACGTGTGCCAACATCTCACACACACAGCAAACTTGCCCAGGACATAAAAATACGACCTCATAGGGACAAGAAGCCCTTTGCACGTGAACGTCCTTAAAAAACCCAATGATGAGACAGTGTTCCAGAAAAAAATGATGACATTACCTTCACAGGGTCTCTCCGGATATTGTACAGAGAAGTCGGGGGCTCCTCCCTCGCAGCTGCACGTGAAAGACCCGAGGGTGTTCCGGCAGGCGGTCCCCGGCGAACAGTCATCCTCCTCCCTTTCACACTCATCGTAATCTGCACAACATTTAGAACACAAAACTCAAGAACACCCCTGGGGGCTTGCAGGCTCCCAGCCGCCTCTTGGGGGCAACGGTGGGGGGTAGGGGGGTGCTGTGCATCTCACAGACAAAGCTGGAAACTCCAGCCCGAGCAGTCCACAGTGAAGCTTGCCAATTCTGGAAGAGTACAGGAGGCTTCCTGCTGCTGGGGCTGGGAGCGGGCTAGGGATGTCTGCAGGGCTGTTCTGGAAGGAGGAGTCTGGCCCAAGGCTGGGGTGGGGGGTGGGCATCTGGGCAGAGCAGAGCCATCCCTTCAGTTCCAGGGAGTGACCAGGAGATACCCAGGCCCCGAGACCCACCTTGGTGGAGCCCAAGGCACCCAGGCTGTAAGCCCAACCCTGGGCAAAAGGCCCTCAGGCTGGCTGTCCTTCACCGTAAGGCTCAGTTGCTGACAGCAAAACAGGTTTACTGCAGAACATGGATAAGAACCAGAAAAGCATGGCCAGGGGCGTGTTGGCATGTGGGCCTGCTTCCTTCTGGCCCTTTAAAATGCAGGCACGCCCTGAAAGCACAGCTTGCCTCTGCCACCAACTAGCAGCATGTGAATCCACAAGCCTTGATTCCCATGTCTGCACAACAATCTGGGGCAGGGACATGCGGTAACTCAGCACCTTCTCAGTTACTAGACCAGCTGGTGATTTCCAACTCTTTGGCTTTTAAAGTAACGCTGAAAATGAACATCTTTGTATTTAAATTACAGTCCAAACTGAGACTAAATTCATTAGGACAGAGTCATTAGAGGTGATGTTTCAGAATCAAAGTGGATGGCCACTTTGAAAGCACTTGGCTTATATCACCAAATTCGTTCCCAGGAAGCGTGAGCACATCCTCCTCCCCCGTCATCTGTGTAAACACCTGCCTCACTACACTTTCACCAGGGGAAAAAAAGACCTTTTTTGCAGTTTGATGGGCAAAAAGTGCAATGCGTTTTAATGGGGAAGCCTTTGGTCACCACGTCCGTGTTAGCCATTGGTGTTTCTTCTTTTACGCTTCATCTGTGAAGCTCTTTCGTGCATTTATCCACCAGGATCTTAGCATTTATCATCTATTTGTATGATCTCTCTATATATTTGGGATACCCATACGTCATCAAATGATTGAAAGTTTTTTTGTTTACTTTGCTTTAAAATTGTGCCTTTATTTTGATTTATCCCTGCATGTAGTCAGTATCTCATCCTTTTCCTCGAAAATCATATTTTCTTTAGGAAGTCCTTCTTATTCTAAACATCAAAAAGATATTCATCTTCAATTTTTAAAAGGCCTTTGGTTTCTGATACATGTATCTATAAGCCACTCATCATTTATGTTCAAGTATGATCAGAAAAAAGAATCTACATTGTCTTTTTCTCCCTGCTTTTCTTGTTAATTATTTTTACTGGGATCTCCCTGGGAACCATGCTTGGGAAAAAGTCTGGCTGCAGAGAGGGACACGTCTGCCTTCTGCCCATGGAAACGGGTGGCCGAGGAGCGGCAGAAAGAAGACAGCATCCCCAGGAATCTGCAGATTCACCTGAAGATGTTTTCAACACTTCAACCTTCAAAACATTATCGTCACAATAAGAGGGAGGGACAGAGAGGTCCCTCTATTTCACATGTTCATCTAATTCCGGGGGAGGAAGGGTCACCACACAGCATCTTTCAGAAGTGCAGGGTAGTGGCTACCGCTGGTTCAGGAACATGGGAGAGGTGCCATCCCAGCCTCCTGTACCCTGTATGAAGGTGTCTCCTCTGATCACCTCCAGCAGAGGCGCGGTCTGGAAGGCGCTGAGGAATGCAGAGGACACCTCCCAGACATCCAGGTCTGCGATGATCAGCAAGTGAAACTCCACCATGACACTGCCATTGGTGACACCAGTGACTTCCATCCTGACCCTGCCAGCCTCCACGTGCTGACGCAGGGCAGCTGGCAGGGAGCCCCACACCTGTGGGGGAAGAGGCCATGTGAGGGGATCTCCACACGGAGAGAAAACAGGTACCTGTCCCAAGGCGGCTTCTCCTGGGAGTCTGTCCAGCAGCTGGGCTGCCCCGTGGCACAAAGGTCAAAGCCACAGGTTGGTTCAGGGCCCTTTCCCGTCTGCCATGTTTTCAAGCTCAGCACAAATGCCTGGGAATGTCTGTAACATGAGAAGAGCTCCCCCTAAATCAGCAAACGGCTTCAGAAAGACACCTGTGAGTAGAGGATGGGACTTGGGGCACAGGCAGAGACCCTTCTTCATGGGGTTAAAATTTGCTGGGGGCTCACAAGGGGTTTTAGAACCTCATACTCCTGGTTTGCAGCCATAGGGGGCAGAGGGCTGAGTGTGGGGTTCTGGGGAGGGAGGCCACCTCCGCTGCTTTCTCTGGAACAGCCCCTTTGCTCCTGGCACTGCAGAACATGCCCCCTTTCATCCTCCCTCTCTGCCTGTCCCCAGACTGCTTCCCATGAGCATTTCCACCATCCCTATTAGGACAGTGGGTTCCTGCCCCTGAACGGCCTGCTTTCTACTCTGTCTCTTCCCACAGAGTCACACACCAGACACTATGATTCCGTGCTGACCCATCATGGTCAAAGCACCCAGAAAGGCAAACAGTCTTGTAATGAGCATCAATCATCCACAGTGCAAATCTCCCATGGAAAGTGTTCCTCCAGGGGTTGTCCTCACAGGTGCGGTGGCCCAAGGCCCGGGTCATGGACTCACCTCCCCGCCTCTGAGTCATCAAGGGGAACAGATCCATCGTCCCTCTCAGAGACTTTGGACCCCAGGGAGACCCCAGCTGCCCTTGGTTGGCACGGGCAGATGACTGTTTGCATGACCATCTTCACAATCATTGCTTCCCTCTCTTTTTCTCTCAGGGGAGTCTGTCATAGTCTTGGACTAAAGTCACTTTCAGCTGCATTTCAAGCCAACCTCTAAGCAAAGTTCCAGGCCCCTTGCTAGGAAGTGGTGCAGAACCAGGAGCTGAGGCACGCAGACAGCACCTCCTGGACATCCACGTCTGCGGTTACCAGCAAGTGAAACCCCGAAATATCTCTTAACATCCTACTTCTGTGATTAAGTTGTATAATTATTTGCTGTCCTGAAATTCTAGGCGAACAGAAAAACAGCATCCCCAAAAAATGGGCAAAGGAGGAAATGGCTCAAAGAGGAAACATTAATCAAGAAACTCGGGAAGGAAATGCAGCCACCGCATTTGACCACTAGAACCAAGTGGAAGGATTCAGCGTTTGTTGTTTAATATTGTAATTACTATTCAACCTTATCAATCAAACCACATTATTAATCAAACCATATTATTAGTCAAACTGTCAACAACTCTTGAATACACGCACCGGGAGCTGGGAATGAGCTAACCCACGGGGACTGTTCCGGAAGGCGGCGGGATCTTTTCGTCCATGGGTGAAGCGCTGGGGGTTCCAGCCCTGCTATGATGTTACCACAGCAGACCACTAGGTGGCAGTGTCAAACCCTCTCTATGCTGAGTCTTAAACTCCCAGACTCCGGGAAAGCTACAATGTGAGATTTCAGGCAAATGAAATCACTAGATTATGACAAGGGCACTCCCTATACCTCAAAAAGTCCATAAGAATGCATGTCACTAAATGGTAACAGGTAGACTACCAGAGAATGCTGAGGGGATGGCAGGGAAGGATGCAGGAAAGAGCAGGAAAAGAACTTTTGTTGAGGAAGGACATTGCAGCAATATTTATTTATTTTATTTAATTTAAACAGCATTTCGCTCTTGTTGCCCAGGCTGGAGTGCAATGGCACGATCTCAGCTCACCGCAACCTCCGCCTCTGGGGTTCAACTGATTCTCCTGCCTCAGCCTCCCGAGTAGCTGGGATTACAGGCATGTACCACCACACCCGGCTAATTTTGTATTTTTGGTAGAGATGGGGTTTCTCCATGTTGGTCAGGCTGGTCTTGAACTCCTGACCTCAGGTGATCCGCCCACCTTGGCCTCCCAAAGTGCTGAGATTACAGGTGTGAGCCACCCCGCCAGGCCCTGCAGTACTATTTATAACAGAATGGGGGAGCCACCCAGTGCCTGTCAGTGAATCAATGGATGAGTCTGCACGACAAGGTTGAGCCCTAGCCATAAGAAGGAATGCAGGAGAATCGCTTGAACCTGGGAGGCAGAGGTTGTGGTGAGCCGAGATCACACCATTGCACTCCAGCCTAGGCAACTACAGCGAAACTCCATCTCAAAAAAATAAATACATAAATAGTGCTGACACATGCTGCCACATGGATGACACCCGAAAACCTCATTTTAGCTGAAAGAAGCCAGACACAAAAGTCACATATTGCACAGTTCTATTTCTTTGAAATGTTCACAGCGGGCATATCCATAGAGATAGAAAGCAGATTCGTGGTTACCAGGGGCTAGA